AAAAAAAAAAAAAAAGCATCAAACGGTTTCTAAGAGCATATTTTCATTAACCATATATAAACAAAGGTATCACGTATGCTTCGCGCCTTCGCTTTTCAAGAACTGCTCGTTTGCCCATTTGTGTTCATAGTGGCTTGAATTCATTCCCATAACTTAGATTTGATGTTGACTGAAATATACTTCAATAATGAATGGAACAATATAGTTTGGCGGCTTTGGCCCATGGCCATATCAATTTAAAATAGTTAAAAGAGGAAATTATACCTAAATAAATCAGATCAATTTAGATTTCCATTTTCATAAATCAGATCACTAGTTTAACATTTCAAAAATCAGGTTTTTTATATCTAATTAAATAATAATTAATTAATTATTAAATTTCATCCCAATTTATATTCCCAAAATCAAACCTAATTTCATTATCCTCTATCCCAATCTTCTCTCCTCCCTGTCGGCTTCTTCTCTCTTCTCCTTCTCCGGCGACAACGGCGGCGCTCGTGACCCCTCCCATATCTACCAGCGAAGTCTTCTCTCCTCACGTCACTGTTCTCTCTCTTCCCCTATCGATGGTTTGTTTCTTTCTTTTTATCGGTGCTCGAAGCGGTACGTTTCTTCTTCTCTCCGGCGCTCAAAGCTATGCTCTTCTCTGTCCTCACTCCCTCACTGCAATGTTACGCGCCCAGCGTCGTTGGTCACAGCGGGGCAGATCTATTATGTCCCTTCTTCTTTTTTTTTCCCGAGTTTGATTTTATGGATGGTAGTGGTGGTTTAATGGCTGATTTGTGCCGATGGTTGCAGATCTGTGGTGGTTTCTACCGAACGGTGTTGTTGGGCATGTGTGCATGGGTATGGCGGTGGTGGATCGGCGATGGTGGTTGCTGTGTGTGCGTGGGTGAGTGGTCATAAACGGTGCGGTGCCATGGTGTTGGCGGTGGATTGGGCGTTGCGAATTGTGGATCTGAAGTTGGGCGGTGGGTGCAGTTGGGTGTGTGTGTTCTGTGTGCGAATGGGTGTTGTCTGGTTCCTTGGTGCTGAGATCGTGGTTTTTGTTGTTGTTGGAGTGGTCACAGAAGTTGCTGGTGGATTTGGTGATGGTCACAAATGATTTGATTGTTTGTGACCAATAATTTGGTCGGTTTTGACCAATGAATTCGATAAATGTGACCAGTACAAGTTGTGTGACCTAAAAATTACTAATTTGTGACCTAAAAAATATTAATTTGTGACTAATAAATTGATGTTTGTGACCATAAATTAAGTAACGTAACTTTTAATTTTTATGATTGTGACCGATGAACAAATCGTGACTTTAAATTTTTAAGTTGTGACCGATAAACAAATTGTGACCTAAGAAATTTTTGAATCGTGACCTAAAAAGTGGCGGAACGGTTATCGGAATACTCATCGGAATCAGAGTAATCGTCGGAATCGGAGTAGTCGTCGGAATCGGAGCAGTCGCCGAACGGTCGCTGGAACAATCGCCGGAGAAGAATGGTGATCGAAAAATTGGTTGGGATAGTGGAGGTGGGGTGGGGTAATTATATTATATTATATTAGAATTAAATATTTAATAGTAAATTAATTTAATAATTCATTAATTATTAATTAAAAAACCTGATTTATGAATTTTCAAACTTGTTTTTGGATTTTTGAAATGGGTGAAAGTAAATACCTTATTTGTGTATTGTTCTCATAATTAAATATTTCATTAGTTATCCAACTTATACCTATTTTACTCACTAAAATTTAAAACGTTTTCAAGTGAAATTGAACTTTAATACATTGCATTACTTCACAGACTCACCATGTTTCATTAATCACTGAAGTTTGAAAATAATTTATGGTGGTTGCTGAAATTTAACATGTTACACTCCACTTGTCGTGTTCCATTAGTTACTAAATTTAAACTTTCGTTACACTTTACTCACCAAACTTTACAATACTTTCAAGTGGTAATTGAACTTTACCGACTGAATCCAATTATTCAAAAATTGAAATTTTTGAAGTGTAAAATACTGTGCACGAAGACAGCGCCATTCTTTCCTTTTGAATTACCTCATGACAACTTTAAAATTTATATTTTATTAGTTTTGATTAATATTATTGACTCTAAATCGAAAATTTCACTACCTGTTTGAGATAAAAAAAAAAAAAAATTCATTTTCTTGATTTAAGTCTACGATCTCAATTGAAATAAAGAAATAATTTCTCTATTTTTATTTGATCGACGTAAAGGAAGATTATAATATAAATTAAGTTTTATGTCAATTTGAAGCTGGTATTTTTCTATCTCCTTGAACATAGCATTGACGATAGTGGTGGACGTAGATACTTTGAATTGGGGGTACAATCAAATCCTTTGTTTTTTAATTTTTGAATGATTCATACTTGAATCGAGAGAACTCAGATTTACATTTAAAGAACATTCATTTATTAATATTTTACTCATTATTTTCGTTCATTTTATTTCGAATATTCTTTTCATTAATATTTTACTCATCATAAGAAAACGTAAATTTACATTTAAAAAATTTGTAGTGTATTAGATACAAACAATCAATTAACACAATTAATTCAAATAATTTGAAGGAAAAATATACCACCAATATTCAATACTAATAATCGATTCAAATAAATACAATTCAATAAATATAAGTTAAATTGGACAGAATCATTCCAAACTCATTGTATACATACAATTCAAAAATCATGTCATATAACATAAATAATTCCAAATCAATTTAACACAATTCAATATACAAATTCAAAAATCATTATTGAACATGAATCGAACAGAATGAAAACAAACTATAAATGTAATGCAAACCATTCTTCTATCACTTTAAATTCTGGTCAAAAATATAAAAAATTTGAATTGTAAATTATTGTCGACTGCCACTGGTTACCTTTCAATTTCAAAGGCAAAGTAACTTAAAGTTAATTGTGTCTGGAGGTTCGACGAGTGGAGGTGGCGTCAAAATTGTAGTGACAGAGGAGGTTGATGCTAGCTTAATGACAATCACTTTACAACATTGTTAGATCAAATTGGTAGAAAAACATAAATTTAAATTCTAACTAGTTGAAAATTTGATTGGAAAGTGAATATTTGTAGTAGATATAGTAATTTGTGAAGAAATTATAGACAAATTTTGAAGAATTAAAATAGTTAGGATTTTTGTAAAAGGCATGTGGGAGAGTCGCGAGAAAGTGAGAGAAAGGATACAAATTTATTGTGATTTTGTCCATATTCAATGTGTATTAAAAGAAGATTTTTAATAGATTTTAATAAAAATTGAAAGGCAACAAGTCTTATGAAATATATGAATAAAATTAATTGTCGATTTTGATTTATATTAAAATTTAGATTTTAATTCATACTAAACATGACTTTGGCAAAAAAAAAAAAAAAAACCCCAAAAGTTTAAGATGACAACAGATATTCATAAAACTAAATTAACAATTATGTTTATTTACATTTTGTTGAAATTGATGACTGGTTGGACAATTTGGATTTGTCCAATGACTGACGTTGGTGTTGATATGATAATTTATAAAATGACCACTATATTGAGCACTAATTTAGTTATCAGTATATCATATTAAATGAATCATAATCTAAACTGGTGTTGAGCACTAATTGTACTAAACGTCATTACTCTTACAAAATAGATGTTAGCTTCCTTGACCTCAAGAAATGAGGTAAGACCTATTTGACCCCAATGATCACATTCGATTTGACACTGTTTGTGCCTATTTTTGTAAAAATGAGTTTTATAATAGTGATTTTCTTTTTAAGAATACGTGATTAAAAAGTAAGAAAAAACTTGAATTTACATACAAAATTATTTTATTGAAAGAATGAATTTAGGATAAATGAGATTTTAGAACCACAAATTACGGATAAGTAACATTCGTGATGAAATCAATGTTGTGAAAATCGGACCTTACCGGTCATTTTCAACAAGAAAAATTGGAAAACGAATCAAAATTCGATCCAATCACAATGGTAAAATTGATTGAGAAAAAATTGGTGTAACACCCAATAACCAGCCGATTTTAACAAAAAATCGTGAGTCTATAACGATTTTGTGGGTTCGTCAAGTCAATTTTTTTGAAAGAAAAAAATGGAGAGTAGGATGAAGAATACAGCCCTTACCTTTTTTCGGTTCCAATAATCTAATGGGGTACTTACAAAAATACAGTTAAAATTAGGGATGTTTTGAAAAATCATGTGAAAGTTTTTTAGGAAGTAAAAAATACTGTGTAAAATGAAAAAAGTGACGCAATGTCACTTTTTTTATAAAAATTGTCACTTTTTTACTTTTTTTAAAAAAAGTGACACAAACTCAAAAAAGTGACACAAACTCAAAAAAGTGACAAATAACAAAATAGCATCATCCATTCGTGCAACACCAATAATCATGTTTTTAAAATAATAGCACGTTCAGGCAAATCCACGTGCTGATTATGTTAGGAAAACATAATATATTATTTCATTTTTTTATCTTCTTAAAAAGTGACAAAAGCTTAAAATGTAACAAAATTTAAAAAAGTGACACAATGTCACTTTTATAAAATTGAAGAGCAACTTTGACATCCCTGGATGGTACTGCATAAAATAAGTAAGTGACATAATCTCTCTTTTACAAAAAAGTGATTTTGTTAGTCAAAAAATGACAAACA